ACGCGTCCGTCCTTGTCGCCCCGTGGCTTTTCCGGGTTGCATCACTTAGGGGTCTTTGGGTCAGAGGTCTGAGGTTAACATGAGGGATCAAGATTAATGGTCAATTTGAGATACTGGGGTCAGGGGTAGGCTGTTTATAGCTAATATAGGTCAAATTTAGGATCTGGGACCGTTAGTTCTCACGAATTCTCTACATTTGAAAAATGGTTAACATGAGGGATCAGGGTCAATGGTTAAATTTCGGGTCTGTGGTCAGGGATAGGCTGCATAAGGCTAATAGAAGTTAAATTTAGGGTCTGGGGTGGTTAGTTTCGCGCATTTCCTACTCTTGTAAAAAAATACGTCAACACGCTCGTCCTCCTCCACCTCATCTCGTAAAGAACGGAGACGCGGGGGCTCCCCGGCGCGTCTGAAAGTGGACACAGGCAGCTACCTGACCAAGYGTCAATATGTTGACGYGGGGGGCATGAGAATGCGTTGGATGGAGAGACCCTATACTGACACTGTTATCACCAAGAGCTACAGTGTATAAATATTGCAAAAATTAGAATACAAATGGGCTCAGGCAGTTACTATAAACCTGAAAAGGCGAACACACCAGGGCCACATGATCTGCCCTGTATGGATAGGGGTGGGTCCTTCTGTTTCTGCCTGGTCTTATTCTACCCCAGCCCAGTTCATCAGTTTGCTCCATGTTGGATTCATGGTAATGTGTGCTTAAAGACACGGCTTTGAAAAAAATAAATATTAAATAAAAGGCTACCTAAGGATTTCACAACCACCTGCTGTACCTTCACAACCCCTCTAGGGCTCACGACCCCGTCGTTGTAGACCTCWGGTTTAAACTAAGACCAGCTTATGTTGAGAAATGATGAAAGTAGCCTCGTCAGCAGTCTCATGCTTATCTTCCGTGATCAGTTAGCAGTAAACATATATGTTGTGAACGACTGTCAGCTATTACCATTCTAATGTTTAAGTCAATCTCTGCAAAACTGACAGTGTTACAGAAAAACAAACACACACAAACCCATACATAGACATGGGTAAAAACATTATTGCTGCCCTTTACCTTCAGCTGCAGACAATAATCATATGAAAACTGTGTCACATAACATTCACTGCAACTGAGCCAGCTGTTTGGGCAGCTGTGGTGCAGAGCAGCGAACTTTGGTTCGATTCCCTGCCATGTCTACGTGTCCTTGAGCAAGAAACCTGCTCCCTAAATGCTCCTCCTGCGCTTACATAGCTGCCTGCCACTTCACGTGCAGCTCACACGAGGAAGGGTTAAATGAAGAGAGCACAATTTTCATTGTTGTATGGGAACACACTGTGGTGACAATACACACAATTGCTGCAAAGTAGAAACAATCTCAACAAAGGACAGATCCTCCCGTGGCGTGGCCACAAAGAATGGATGTGAGCCCCATGCAGCACACAGCTGCAGTTTCTGTCAGCATCTTACAATCACATCAGTGAACAGTGCACCCTAAAGGTTCGAAACAGGCAGGATTAATGAACAAGTGTGTGGCGCTGAGACCTCAAGGGACAAGCAGGTTGAGGGCAAGTATGTCCAATACAAATAAATCAAATAGAAAAATATTTGGATTTGTTTTTTGTTTTGTTTTTACTCCACTGGTTAAAACTTTAAAATTAATATTTTAAAAAGTCAAAAAGCAAATCACCTTCATCTGAAAGGTAGATCTTTTTTTTAAATGTGAAGAAGTGGAAAAACTCCCAAGGGCTAAAATGTTGCATATTAATTTAGTGCAGAGCGTGCCACAGGGGGGAACTAATTTGTACTCAAGTGTGATAACATGAACCTTTTTTTTTTGATTTTCATCAAGCATAATATGGATCGAAATCCCCTCAGACACCAAGCAGGGGGCCAGTAGATGATACAAAAGTTCATGAATAAAATGTTTGATAAATACACCTATCAACCCCTCAGACTAAATGTCAAGTGACGTTTTTAAAAGGTAGAGAGATCTTTTACTAAATGTTGATAGCAAAATAAAACAAAAACACTTTTTGCACATTTCATGAAATGTAAGATTTTGAAAAATAAACAGTGAAGCTTCTATTTTCTAGCCCCGAATACCTCGACAGTGGTAACTTTATGTAGCTCTTCTCATCATCCTGTAACAGTCAAACACCTCTGTGAATTGGGGACCTATTCCATTTGATTTTATGGATCAATGAATTTCTGGCATATTAAATGGAATAGCTGTCTATGTGATAAACCGCTTTTAAACACAGGTGTCCCCCTGGGCCATGTCATTTCCTCTTTTTTATTGTCTATTTATACGAAWGAGATTATGTGCAACAATAATGGCCTCATTTTGATTAAGCGTTTTGACAACACGACCCAGGAGGCCAATTTGATTCTCAATCAGTCATAGCAAGAAAAAAAAATGTTATTGCAAAGCTGACAGTTCAGTTTGACTATTGCCACTTTGAAAAAAAAGAGGAGAGCAAGCTTCATCAACATCTGGCCCCATCTGAAGCGAGTGKCCAAGAGCGGGCCAGAGAGGAGAATTAAACTTTTCCACTCATGCTACATGAGCATTCTTTACACTGACATGCAGCAGAAGCTCTGGTGATATTTAGTCAATAGAGATGCTCATTATTGTCCTCAGCTTCAACACATTGCTCTGGTTTGATGAGCTGTCTGCGAGGAGCTTGCAAAAATTGGTCAAGCAGGAATCCAAAATCATTTGGCTGCCAATAACATCCCTGATCATCAGCTGGCTTAAGATTTCTTCCTTCAAATGTGATGGGGGAGGGGGGGTCCCCCACATCTCCAGAGTGTAGGATGTGCCCGAGTTCTCACATGAGAAGCAAGAATAAAAATATAGATTTGCCATGCACTAACATGCTCAGCTATTTGTTCGTTTTCTTAATCAGTTCATTTTTTTTAAAGGGGCAATCATGAGCCATTACACCATCATCATTCATATTCAAGTCAGATTTAAGTAGAACGAGACATGCACTGCCAATCAATACTACATGCAGTTAAGAAGCATGAATTTAAAAGGGAATTTGGTGGAGTATATGTTTTATTCCCATGGTTGAGTCCAATCAATGTTATCTCTCTTAAAGTCAGAGACCAGGGGGCTATGGCTTCAGGCTTTGATGTCGAAGACAATCCCAGAAATCAAATGATAGTGAGAGAACTGGCTCGTGGACAGATTTGAGGCTTCAGACGATATATATTTTTTTATCAAATCTGAACTGAGAAGATCCCCTGCTGGCACTTTCACCGTGACCTTCGACATCTTTCTCATTTTTCTTCTTGTGGGATTAGACATATATTGTCCAAATCACAGGCAATGTCTCGGAGTGAAAATTTGATAGAACTACCCTAGACCACAGGCCTGAAGTAATTTTCCTTCAAATGTCCCTTTAAGATTGAATTTATTATCAGTCATTTACATCTAATATAGCCCGAGCTCTAACACTGAGTCGTAAAATCCCATAAATTTTAAGCTCCGCGGTTTTCACTCGTACTTTCGGGACCACAGACAGGAGTCCGGACTGCATAAATCTCGAATGTTGACTGGCTGCAGTGACAAGCCCATCAGAGATGATCCAGTGAGCACTGTTCTGCTGCACAAAAGGCTATCGATGGCAAAAGACATCTTAAACCAACCACATATTTCACCACGCAGCTCACATATGAGACTTTATGAGGCGCATATCTAGCCTGTCTTCGACAACACATCGACATCACTGAACGTCTGCGATGCCTCCAACATTCTAATGTGCACCAAAAAACAGAAAATGAAACAGATAAGGAAAGCAATTACAGATGGAATTATCCAAACCAGCCAATATAATCGGACTCTTTTAAAATGTATTCTTTTTTTTTTGCAGTTTTACTGGGCCACAGAAAATATTAAATGTTTCTGCTACACTTTGTTTTTTTTTAACTAAGGAGATCTAAATTACCTGAAGTGGGAAAATGCAGAGCAGCTTATTTCTTTTGTCCAAGGCTGTTTGTAGTTTGGAGATCTTCGCACCTGATAAACGCTGCTGCTTGCAAACATGTTTGAATGCTGTATATTTAAGGGAAGAGATAAAATCTCTTTGACTTTATCCTTGTGAAAGAAAAATTTGTGTGCATGCTCTTGTGTCAGTTGAGAGCATGTGTGTGTGTGTGTGTGTGTGTGTGTGTGTGTGTGTGTGTGTGTGTGTGTGTGTGTGTGGTGGGGGGGTTAATGTGGATGCATACAGCAATGTCTAGTCATGCATGAAAGATGTGCTGAACTTAAAAAGCAACAACACTGAGCTGATTTCTGAGGCGTCGTTTCAGCCTGATTTATACGGCAACAATGTATTCACCTCTTTAATTAGACAGCTATTAACTAAGTGTAAGTTAAATGTCAGTAACAAAAGTGTTTAATTTGCTGAAAGGTCAGATGTTGTTTCATCGGCGTCACATCAGGGGTCAGGTTAGGCACAGCTCTTTTATTTGTAGCTACCACACCTTCCTGGGAGACTTCTTCTTCTCTCTTTTTTCATTTCATAAATAATTAAAGTGTTGTGATTGCTGCCAAAATCCCTCCCACGGTTTGAAATCATGTCAAGTTTAAGTGCAGGTTAACTATCAGTTTGACTTTAATGTGATTAACAGTTTGTAGATAGAAATGAGTCTCCCCTGGTTTGAAATGATGCGCGCGCACAGACACATAAATCAGGGAAATCGTGCAAGCAGGCGCGCAGTGTGCATGTCCATCACACAACACTCWGAAAGCAGCTAGGCAGTAACAGAAAACATTAACAGTGGTGGAACTACTGCAAACATGTATATAAATGTGTATTTGCTGGGAATAAATTGTCATCCTGTGCGTAAAGTCGTGCGTAAAAAATGTGGTGACATGACAAACGCGCAATTTTAAAACAACAATAAAAGCAAAATAAAAGGAATAGTACGTGGCTATTTTCTTTTCTTTTTTTCTTAATGATGCCATGGTGTGTGTTTCTGTGAAACTCTAACTCACACTGCTGTTGTGGCCRGACCARTGCACCATCGCCTGGTTGTGCGCCGAGTCTCCCGACAAGGCAAAAGTCGAGGTGTCCAGGTGAGGCTCACTTTGCCTCGGGCTTGACCCTCGGGCTTCATCCCCTGAGCGCCGGTACTCGGTTCTCGACTTGGGAGCGCCTTGGACACTTTCCACGGACCTCTCAGGTGACTGCGCCTCTCCACTTAAACTCCTATCCACGTTGTCGTTGTACGCTGAGCCCACGCTTCTTTTCGCCCTCTTCCTTCTGACAGAAAATGTGCGTTCTGGCGTTCTGGTCGCTTCGGCTCGCTCCGCTGTGATGTTSCCACACTTTTTATCAGGTATTTCGAGGTCGTTGGAATAGTTTGCTTTGACCGGTGTCTCTTTTCTGCTCACTGTTTTATTCTTCACTTGCAGGGAACAGCTCGGCTTTAAAGTGGCTGCTGCCTCCGTTCCGAACCTGTTTGAAACTTCATCTCTGTTTTCTGCTTTGCGCGCAACTTTGGTCCCCGTTGGTTTTTTGGCAAAACGTGCCTCGAGCGGAGCCACGTTCAGATGACAAAATCTGTTGATTGATCTGGATAAAGTTATCTCCGCTTGAGCCCCTGACTTGGAGTGAAAAGGGACGCAAGACAAAAGCAAAACGCTCCAAAATGTCCAAAGTACCATTGTGCGCACCCAAGCTCAGTTTAGGAGTGGAAAGCAAAAAAAAAGATATAGAGCTGTTCGAAGTCAAGACACATTCAGCGGATCATCTTCGCGAGCACAAAGTCCTTCAGCAGACCCGCTCACGTCCAAGAATTTGTCAAAGTGAAAGGAGCAGTTGGAGGAGGCGCTGCGCATCAGGCGAGCGCGCCAACGGAGAGCAACTGCAGGAGCGGCTACATTACAAAGCTCACGAGGAGGTCTGAAACAGGGAGGGTTGGGGAGACATAAAATGTTTTTTTTTTTAATTATTCCACGATCTTAGCTTTAATTCAGCACCATCTTTCCCAGCTTTTGTAAACCCTCGAAAGTTATCCGGAACAGTGCTTGACGGACTCGAAAGGCGTTTTAAAAAAAAATAAACAAATTTGTGTTTTGCATAACAGCGTTCACTCTGTGGAACACGACAGGGGAGAGGCATCTTCTGCCTGGCATCAATCACCACCGATTCAYCTGTCAACTCTGCGCGTGAGCGAGACTACATTTGGAGAAATTCATTTGGACTCCTAATAAAGCTCGAGATTTACTCGTTCCTGCCTGAGCTGGGTGGGGTGGGGGTGGGGTGCTGAAGATGTGCTGGACCTTAAAAAATGGCCACAAAACACAATGCGACCTCAGGCCTTCTGCGCACCAAGTTAAACTAGAAAATGTTTAACATCAYCTGTATGTCTTATGACCAGGAAATCTAAAAAAAAAAAAAACTCACTCATATTATTGGTTTATTTATTTTTTGTTTTACAGTGCGCATCTGAAAAATCAAACCTCCTTCAAATCAATATGCCATTTGAAAGGTATTAGTTGCAATTAGCAGAGCCAAATGAATCCTGCAAGGCAGTTCCTACTTCCTGCTGACAGAGCTCCTTTTTCTTTTTTCTTGTTGCAGAAATTGGGAGTATCAGCATCTAAAAAAAGTGTGGAAAAAGGGGGAAAATGTAATGAAGTTATTTGTAATAATGTGGAATGGCACAGGGAAAAAGTATTGAACACACTTAATGAAATTTATCTAATAC